GAGATGGCCCCTGCTGCCAATGCGGAGCCCTAAAGGAACGGGTCAAGCGAAGCCAAACGCTTCCCAGCCGCGCGGTGTTGGGGAGCGGTGCCCTGCGACGCAGCAGGGTCCTGGGAGCTCTCACACCGTCGTACCCTGCGCCCCCCAACCCACCCTCCAGCTGCTGTTCTGCAAGGCGTCTCCCCACGGGTAACTTCTCTCCCTCTGGTCTGCCCAGGCCAGCCCCCAGAACCTGGAGAGGGGAGCCCTCCCCTCGCATCAGAGCTGCACACACCCATCCGTGCAGCCGCCCTGCCCTCAGGCACAGCGTCCTCCGGGTCTCCCCGCATGGGCCACACCAGCGAGTCCCGGAGGAGGAACCATCCCTGCAGGAGGAACGCACAACTCCAGCCAAAACATGCTGTTCCCTGTAAAAAAGAGTATCAGGTGGAAAACAGCATAAAGTCTGTCTTCTGCACAAAGTGCGAATGGATAAAACAGATCATCCACTTGGGTGAAGAAATTGTTTTTGTTGTAAAATCTCCTTCATGATATCTCCTAAGTGAAAACCAACCCCGAAGCATGCAGATGCTGCTGGAAACAACAACCCTTTCCACTCACTACAGTTTTCCCTGCCACTAGTTCAGGGTGGGACCACAGAGGCTCCAATATAAACCCCATGGTATCTCAAAAGAACATCCCACAGGAAAACTGCACTGTGATGTAGCCAAGACCAGACACTGTAATGGTCTTTTCATCCTTGAAAAACAAACAAACAAATTCTATAAAACTTGCTCAATAAGTTACGTTACTGTGAAATGACTGACAAGGACTGTTGATTTGCTGCTGCCTCTCACAGCTAGAGCACATCCATTGATAAGGCCTGTGCTCAAGACAGCACCAGCATTCACTGACTCGAACCTAAAACTGACCACCACCTAATTCTGGCAACTCAAGGCAGTGCCCTTAAGGCTTCAGCCACAGCAGCTTTCCCAGCCCTGCATCCCAAGCACAACCGTTTGCACCCCAGCCTCCTGGCAGATGCTGCAAAAGCGCTCTGGCAAAGCTGTGGAGGAAAGCCAGCCTTCCTGAGGTGAGGGCCTGCTGCCTGGGGCAGACGCCGTCTAGACCTCTTAGTACCAAAGGTAGAAGACAAACTGTCCCGGGTCAGGGGTGCTAACCTCACCACTTCATTTTCCATGGATCAGGGTCAGCACCAAAAGCATTGGTGCCTGTCTGGAGCAGCACGCTGCCAGCATGGTGGCACCAGCAGCTCTTCTTAGGGTTGTACGCTGGTGCCTGCACTTGAGGAGAGTTCAACTCTGTCTGGAAGCTCTCCCTAAGGACATGCTGCTGATGGAGATCTGCAGCTCCCAAATTCAGCGGCCGTAAGCAGTTCTTCAGTACAGTAGGGTTGCCACAAAGCCTTCATCCTACCAGCATCCACTTTCCAAGGCCCTCAGCTTAGCTTTAAAGCCAGGCTTTACCTCTAGCAAGCAATGGCAAAACTCACTTATCTTCATAAGACTTGGTGTCAGCAGGGATTTGAAGTCTTGACATACTTCTGTGGCACCATGGTACTTCTGTGGGTGCAGCAGCAAAGGCAAGACAGGGCTGGGAGAGAAAGCCAGAGATACTGGTGACTCTCCAGTAGTGGGAGCAAAGCCTGCCCTAGCAGGCAGCTCGAAGCACTGTTAACTCACTTTCCAGCTGGCAGGAAAAGGTACCTGATAGTTCAGTGAGACCTGCAGACAGACAAAATCCCTCTTCATCTGCTTTCTTGATCTCTTGCAGGTGCAGAGTAGCCAAAGGTATATGCAGGGTGATTTTTGTCCCTTCTACTAGGTGCACGCTCTTAAAAGCAGGGTACACTTCAGGAGGAAAAACCCAGCTTGGCTTTCTGGTTCCCACCTGGAGAGACCAGGGCCCGCAGAGGGGAAAAGCTCTGTTTATATTCCAGCTGAGCAAGCAGAACTTGTAACCACATCCAACCCTCCAGCCTGCTGTGCTCACTTTTAATCCCCTTCTCTGCACGAGGCTGCACCACCACTCAGGTGGAAACTCTGTGCAAGGTCCTGGGAGCAGGTTCAGAAGAGGAAGCTGGACGTGGCATTGGGAATTCTCTGGGGCACTGTTTCCCCTCTCCAACATCAGTTCAGACACACACTAGGCAGGACAAGGCTTCTCTCATCAGAACAGACACGGCAGAATAAGAAATAGGGGAAGGTGATCTCAGCTCAGCCGAAGTCCCAAGCGCAAGGCTGGAAGGAATAAGGATCCCAGCAATAAAGGGCAGACAGAAATGCCACTGACACCTGAGACCCTGGATGGAGACAGTCAAAATGCAGCAGTCCCACCCATGGATGGAGTAGCACAGCTCCTATTTAGGTCAGTGCAGTGGCCCCCAAACCGCCCCAAGCACCCCAGCACATCTGTCTGGGAACAACCCCCAGCCCACAGGATCACAGGGACACAAAACAGGCTGATGTTTGGGACTGCAATCACCACATCAAGGTGAAAGGCTCTGAATGTTCAAGTGGGCTTGTTCACCCTGAAGTGGTTTCAGAGTTGCTGTCATTCTGCTGTGCGTCATAACTGGGCTAATAGCTGGGCCTTACACACACTTCTTGCTCTGAAACAGCCCTTTCCTAGGGACTCCCAGCAGCAGAGAGCCCTGAATGTGCCCCAGAACGCTGTGAAGACATGCAGAAACTCCAGATGTACAGTCAAAAATAGGTTTACTGGAATGTCTTTAGTCACAGCTGTAAGCAGCAATACTGAAAACACCGAGCTTGTGCATTCCCATGGCAGGACCAGAAAGTCTTCTGGATTGTAAAACTTTATTTTTTTATTTTTTACAAGAGAGAAACACCACCCTTGCAGTTCTCCACAAAAGGGTCAGTTTCCTGTAACATAATGGTATGTTTCTCTCTGGAGGTTTTTCCCCTCCTTTGCTCCAAAGGACAGAGTCCCCAGTGCCTTCCACATCAGGCAGTGGGGAACTGCTCAAACAGTATTACTATTATTAATATTAGAATTCAACCATATATACAGATAAACCATGGTGGCAAGAGGCAAGCAGCCAGTTCCAAAGCAGAGACTCAAAATTCCACAAAACAGATGCTTTGGGAACTGAATCATCTGTTATAACAGAAGTCTGATTGTAGGAGCAGGTACTCGACCAAAAAGACTAAAAGGGTCATTTGGCAGTTCTTAAAACACTGTTAGAACTGGCTGCTTGCCACTGCCTCCTTGCTCCTTGGAGAAAACCAACTTCAAAGCTATATACAGATATTTCACTTAAATTACACAGCAGTTTGGTTATCCCAGAGCCAGCTCCACCGAAGCCTCCAGCTGCTCCCTCAGGTATGGTACTTCAGGACTATGGGTACTGGAAAACACAAAGAAACAAGCTCTCAGCCACATGCTTTCACATGTGACACCAATCCCTGCTGGAGATATCCCCCCCATTTCTGTAGTGACAAACACCAAGCAGCTGTGAGGAAAAGTGTGTTTCCAAGCTCCAGCTAATGCAATCTGCTGCCTGTACACATGCTAGACAACATTTCCTGCCACCTTCATCTCCATCCAGCTTCCCAAAATTAAACCAGATGGGATTTTCCATCAGTCTCTCTACAATGCTCCCACCCTGGCTGCCAGCTCTGCCTCTCCTGCTGCGGGCTGTGTGTCACCAGGACAACAGGCCACAAGGGTTTTGCCAAAGTAACAAGAACAGTTTCAGAGCTGCCCTCAGCTGCGGTTGGTGGGGGGAAAACCTTCTGGTCCCAGGGGCATGAAAGAGCTGCACTGCTGCTGGGCTGCTTTAATCCCTGGAGCACATCATTCAGCATGCAGAGGGCCTGGCATAAACACACTCTGGTCATCATTACCTGTTAGGTAGGAAAAACAGCAACATCTATGCTTTGGGGAGCTCCAGAGACCAGGAAGGGCAGAGGGCAGAGAAAGAGGACAACAGCTCCTTGCTGAAAATTAAGCAGCCCACCAGCTTTGGGGAGGAACAGACTCATTGCAAGATGGTTGATAGATGTGGAGAGGCCTTTGGGAGAGAGTGCTCCAGTTTGAAACTCTTTTATCTAACCCCAGCAGCCTCAGGATCAGTCAGTGCCAACCCTGGATTGGTACAACATTATCAGGACAGGACAACGTTGGCTTTCTTTGGCCACTGTCAGTAGAGTTTTGTCCGAGCCTGCTCCTCTTCACTTAAGCCTTGCAGAAGAGCAGCACAGCATGGCCTGTAGGCACTATTTGTGACCATCTAAGGCAGAGCAGGGCCCAACAGGAGCAGCTCAGGAGCCCTCCCCCAGGGACAACAGCACCACACTGTCACTCATGGTGCAGAGTGCCACGAGTATTTTAATGCCAGACATGGCTGCTGTGAGCTGGAGCTACTCACCGATGATCACGAGCAAGAGAATGACTGCCACAAGTGCTATGATTGCCTTCATCTGCAAGGTGAGCACAAAGGAGTGTTACACCAGGTGCCATGAGTAGCTGCTTTGACCTGAGAAGGAGGCCTTTGCCTTCCAGTGCCTTTTAAGCTAGAAAGCAGAGCTTCTCCATCTCACCCCGGTGGAGGGCAGGTAACCACCCTTCCACAGACTCAGCCCCCTGCCTGTTCCTGTTCTTGCTCACCTTGCAGCCTCGCCACCACATCTGTCTCCGCAGCTGCTTGGCTCTGTTGCTGAAAGCTGTTGCATTGTCTGATAAACTTTCTATTGAAGGACAGAAAAGAGGTGATTCAGTGGCACGCACACCATCAGAGCACCCACTCCTTCCACCAAGTCCACTGAGTTTTAAGCAACAAGCTCAGTGTTAGGGGAAGAGAACCACAGCATGATTCACCAAAGCCACAGCAGACGCCCGTGTGACGCCCCGTTGTGCCGCTCTTCGCCAGACCACACACAGCCCTGCCAAGTCCCACTGAGCCCCTTTGTACTGGCTGCCTTCTGAGGACAGGAACCCCCTCTGCAAGCCAGAAAGCCAGCAGGCAGCTGAAGTGCTCAGAGCTGCTGGGAGACAAACTAACCTACCTTTGCTTGAAGGACCAAATAGATCACAGCATCCAAACACTTCCAAACTAACACCTCTGCACTGAGCAGCAGAAGGTGAAGGTGGAAAGAGGAGAATGTCAGCAGAAAGTCAGATCTGCAGCCCAAGGCTAGGGAACACCAGTCCCAGGAAGGATAGAAGTACAAGTCCAGGTCTGTCATCAGGCACTTTCTGAACTGAAACCAGGTAATTTGGCCCAGCAACAGAAGAGTGAAGTGGGGAACACGCCAGCAGAGTTTCACTTAGCATCACACCTGATTTATCCTGCAGGTCATCCAGCCGCTCGCCTCTTTCGATGACCTTCGTGATGTTCTCCTGCATAACATCGATGACTTCATCCACCTGGTTCTGTACGCTAGAGCAGAGCAAAGGCAGCGTGAGGAGCAGAAGCAAGCACCACCAGCTCCACTGCAGCCTTGGCCCTTGCTCAGAGTCACCCAGGTTGGTGGGATCCAAGAGCTCACCGACCAAAATCAAAAGGGACAACAGTGGAGAGAGGTTGATGGGATGCTGAGAAAGACAGAGGCATGGCCCAGAGGCCTGTGGTGGGTCTCTGACAATCCCAGGGAGGATGAGGGAACGCATGGGGCTCCAAGGGAGTGCTAGGAAGTCAGCAGAAGCAGGACGCCCTCTATCACACTTTGAATGCACAAATGCGGCAAGAAAAGGCACTGACTGCTGTTGGTGGGCACCTCTGCTACAGAACAGCTCACATCAAAGGGAAAAGATATAAAACTCACAGCTTATCTTCCCAGATTTCATAGAGCTTCACCCTGCATCTTTGCTAAACAACTTGGGGTGAAATCAAAGCAAGGTGTTCTCCCCCACTCTGGGAACCAAGCTGCTAAATAAAGCCCACTCTGCCAGGAGCATCAAGAGGACAGGAGAGAAATGGCTGATATGAACTACACCAAGTTATTATAATCCATCTTCTCACAGGTTATGCAACTCTGTGGGTAGTCCCTTCAGTGAACGGTAGCCTAAATCGTACCCGCAGAGTCATTAAAAATGCATTTATTCACTCCATAAAAGAACCACATTGGTAAGAGAGAAAAATTCTCCTAGTGGAAAAATACTGCTACATTCTGGTTTGTACTTTGGAGCTAATACACTTTTATTTTCCTGGAGATAGAAATAAGAAATTTCTTGAGACCCTAGGGAGACAATACATTGTTTGAGACATACCGTTCCCAGAAAGTAAATGGCAACAGCAACGTCTTGGAGGCAACAACACAGAAACAGCTCCAGGCCACCCGCCCCGTGTAAACCTTAGGTTTGACAGCTTAGGTTGCCTTGATTAAAAACATTTAAGCACTTTAAACATATCAAAATGCATCCAGCATTTGCTAAATATGCAGCACAAACAGGCCACTTCAGCAGGTCTCCACATTACCAGAAACACACACCTCCTATTAACAGTGTGGCACTGCTGGGAAGAAGGGTCACCACCACCTCACTGCTTATGCCTGCTTAGCCCTCACACTCTCATTCCACAGATTAGCCAGTCACAGCATCTTCCTCTCTGGATCCATGCAAAACCCCCTCCTCCCCACTGCCATCCAACAGATGCAGACATTCAAGTTATTTGCCAAATCAGAGTTTTTACAGCAGCACTAGACCAACTCCACCACTTGGAGAGGCATCTCTAGAAAGCACTCCAAATCTCTGAACATGAAGGGGCTTCCTATCTTAGCATTCCAGGTCAGGCTCTGTAGCATCACTGCACTGCAGCTTCCAGAGCTGCAACAGCCAGGCAACCCCTACCAAGCCAATTTCAGCTCAACCACCCTCATATGGCAAGTGCTGGACTCCAGCAGTGCAAGTGAGAACTTGCTTTATTTAGGGTAGTGCAAGAAAGGAACCTGCCTTCTCTGTGCTGCAGCGCAGAGCCCGTGGGAGCAGCATCTCTCTGCCCCCATCTACGCCGTGCGGTGGCAGCTCCTGCCTTCCGTATCAACGGCAGCTACCTGCCAGGAGTTTCTTTTTTCTTATCTGGAGGGGAAAGGCATAGGTAACTCCCAAATGCCTCTCAGCAGGAACCTGCCCGGTGCTCACGAGTCTGTTCCGATGCACCATTTCTTTTATGAGGTACGAGGGGAGTGGCAGAGCTGCCACCCGTGGGACGGTGCAGAAGGTGGCACTGTGAGGCAGGCAGACGCTGCCTGGGAATTGCTGTGGTACCTGTGGAGCCAAGCATCCTCCCACGCAGGACACACGAGGAGGAGGCAGGCTCTGCGAGGGGTCTCCTTACCTCAGCGCAACAGACAAGTCCCAGCTCAGACCTGTCAGCACTGCTGCTATAGCTTGGGGCAAGAGAGGAAAAGCAGAAGGAGCAGAAACATCTGCTGTCCCAGGAAAGCCAGCTTGGCAAAAACTCCAAGGCTTTAAACATGAGTTTCACAGGCAGAAGACTACATTTGCAGTATGTAAACGTTTCTAAAATCGTTTACTGGCTTCAAAATAAAGAGATTTCCTCCCACAGCAGATTTGTAACCAAGTTATCTTTTTACAACTAACAAGCAGAAGCATGCAAGGTTACAACGCATCTAGGAACACGCAGCGCAATGCAACACCACCCATTGCCCTGCTGGTACAGGTCAGGGCCTGGAGAGATGCTGCTGCAGTCCTGGGGCAAGGAATTCAAGGCAAAGCAGACAGGTATGTAAATTGAAACTGCTCTGGTATGTACCAACATTTGGGAGAGACCTATGGAGCACAGACCCCCACTGCCCAAGCTGCATCTCAGCATCCCAACTCTTTTCACTTGAGCTGCTGACAGGACTCTGTGTGCCTTTGCTGCCTGTACATAGCCTAGGCATGCTCTCAGCCATCCCCAGGAGAACAAAATATTTCACAGATGGAGAAGAGAGGCACAGAGAAATTAAGGCTTAAACTCTTGCAAATGTTGAGATATTTAACTCCCATAGGACACAGACACATTTGAGTGCCCCAATACTTCTTGGTATCTGAGGTCAAAGAGAACCATGGAAAAAAAACAGAAGTAGGAGACTGAGTCAGGGAATGAAACATGGATCTCCACACAGTGCCTTAACCAGACCTTAAGCCAGTCCTTGCTTCTGCTCTTTCCCACCCATCACTGCTGCAAGAAATGCCTCTCCCGGAGGGGGCTAAAAGATGCCCAGCCGATGCATTAGCCCTGCAGTTTCAAAGCATATGCAAAAATTCCCCCCAGTTTGGCATGCTTGAGGTTGGAAACTCAAGTCGCATCAAGAAGAAAATATCTTCTTGTTTTATTTGGCAAGAGAGAATGAATCCTCCAACATGGAGCATATTTCCTGTTAGTGAGCTATTGGCTTTTGACACATACATTTCATGTGCTTCACTCCTGCCAGATCTCCAAGAAAAATAAAGAAGAACAGATACCTGCCAGGAAAGGGAGCAAGACAAAAGCGTAAAACGTCTCCTGTGATCACCCTTCTTACCAGTTCCTGCAAATAGGATGCCCTTAACAAGGCCAGCAAGCATGTGCCAGCAAAGCAACAGGAGACCCAACAGCACTTAGCCTGGTTTAGACAACGCTTCTCTTGTGCTTCCCCAGGTCCAGAGTGGGAGGAATAAGCCTTTTGGCTGCACTGGGTTAGCTACCAAAAAACTCCCTGGGCTGGTCAGAGTGTTGGGCCAACAACAGTGCTGCATTCTTCAGACGCCGTAAACAGGCCGTGCACGCAGCAGGGAATGTGCTGCTCCAGGCTGCTGCTTGTC